ATTTTACATGTTTGGTCATTTAGGTCTGTGGCAGGGTTGATTAAAAACTGACCTCAGTAATTACTGAACCCAAGAATGACGTTATTTCTATTCTGGGGAATGGAAATAGTTTGTAGTTAGGCTGACAAGTGTGGAATATTCCTTGCATGTCAAATGCATGTAGCAAAACCTTACTCATGTCCCAAAAATAAGAACTTCATCTAAGATCCCTGGAACCTCCTTTTAACTGTTGTAACTTATATGCATATCTGCATATCTGCAAATGTATTCCATAAACATTTAAATGGCTTACAATTATTCTCTAGATTTATTGGCCTTTTAATTTTATCGGTATATGTAGGTTAACATGAAAAACTTGCTTCCTTTTCTGGGAATCTGTAATAACGTATATGCATACAAATCTAATAATAATGGATATGGTGCTTTAAATAATCTTTCTCATATTCATGTGATTCTGGGTGGCACTGGCATAAGCCTCCTTGCTTTGCCTTTGAAGATTATGATGTGTACAAACAGTACAATCACCTAGTCTTTGCCTGGCAGCTGACAGTACAAGCGGCTGGCTGCTCTGAAGGAAAGAATGCAAATGGCAAGAAAACAGTGCATTGATTTTCATTTGTAAACACAGTGTTATTCTGTGAAAATTAAGTAGCAATGTTAATTATTTAAGCTGTTGACAGCACATATTAAAAGCCAAAGCTGGAAATGCACATTAGTTTTCTAGGGCACTGATACTTACAGTACTTTAGAGTATATACACTATATTGCCAAAAGTATTGGGCCACCCCTTCAAATCATTGGATTCAGGTGCTCCAATCACCTCCATGGCCACAGGTGTATAAAATCAAGTACCTAGGCATGCAGACTGCTTCTACAAACATTTGTGAAAGAATGGGTCACTCTCAGGAGCTCAGTGAATTCAAGAGTGGTACCATGATAGCTTGACACCTGTGCAATAAGTCCATCCATGACATTTCCTTGCTATTAAACATTCCATGCTCAACTGTTAGTGGTATTATACCAAAGTGGAATCAACTGGGAACAACAGCAACTCAGCCACCAAGCGGTAGGCCACGTAAAATGACAGAGCGGGGTCAAGTCGCCAACTGTCTGCAGAGTCAATAGCTAAAGACCTCCAAACTTCATGTGGCCTTCAGGTTAGCACAACAACAGTGCGTATAGAGCTTCATGGAATGGGTTTCCATGGTCAAGCAGCTGCATCCAAGCATATATCATCAAGAGCAATGCAAAGCATGCAGTGGTGTAAAGCACACTGCCACTGGACTTTAGAGCAGTGGAGATTTGTTCTCTGGAGTAATCAATCACACTTCTCTGTCTGCCAATTCAATGGACGTGTCTGGGTTTGGCAGCTGCCAGGAGAACAGTACTACTACAAGTGTAAAGTTTGGTGGGGGATTATGGTGTGGGTTTGTCTTTTAGGGGCTGGGCTTGGCCCCTTAGTTCCAGTGAAGGGAACTCTTAAGGTTTTGGACAATTTCATGCCCCCCACATGGGGATGGTTCCTTCCTGTTACAACACGACTGTGCACCAATGCACAAAGCAAGGTCCATAAAGACATAGATGAGCGAGTTTGGGGTGAAGGAACTTGACTGACCTGCACAGAGTCCTGACCTCAACCCGAAAGAGCAACCCAAAATTTGGGACGAATTAAGAGTGGAGACTGAGAGCCAGGCCTTTATTTTAGTTGATGTACGTGTAAAGGCAGGTGTGATAATACTTTTGGCAATATAGTGAATTTTAATGATGGCATTTTTTCAGAGATATCTCATTGTGACACTACTTAAAGTGGCAGTAAACTCTATTTTTATATTTCTCCTACAGATAAGCTTATAATAAAGATTACCTATAAGTAAAATTAATGTCTCCTAAATGTGCACCATTGAGGAGATATTCTAGTAAGCAGCAGCCGGTGACATCACCAGCGCTAGTGCTCTGAAGGAATGGCATACATGTGCTGTTCCTTCAGAGCTCTGTGCCACTACCATGACTCCCATGCATATGCATGGGAGTGATGTCATTATGGCTCTGCCACTCAAACAGCCACAGCCGGGGAAGCAAGACCGGGTGAGGATGGATGCCTCTGCAGCCACGACAGAGTGCCGTTGGAAGGCTTTGTTTCAAGGTAAGTCTTTCACAATGTGCTAGTATGCGATGTATACAAGCACATTATGCCTTTATCTTGCAGGGAATTTTTTTTTTTTTTTACTTTAAGTTCTCTACTCATTTAATTGCAATCTGCATACCTGTCTCAGGTTAGATATATGTGCAACATAGGGCCTATGGTGAAACTTTAGTCAAAACATTTTTTTTCAGTTTTCGGTAAAGTGGGAAAGGTTTGGAACCTCTTTCAGCTTCTTGTTGTCTTTGTCTTCATTGGGGAGATTTACCTTCCTTTATTGCACCTGAGACTTAAAAAGAGGGGAGCAACTTTTGAAGGTGAGAGTAATTCCCACTATTGATAGTTGTCACCAGAACAAATGTGACCATTGGTAGATTCTCCTTACATCATGCTACACTTGTAATAGTTGGTATTTGCCTCCAAGTCACCAGGACAAAAAATAAGAGTGAATATTTTTTTAACAAGGACACAACAATATAAACGTGACAGGAATTCTAATTATTCCTAATCAAAACTGAGAAACAACCAAAACTGAGAAACACATTTGGTTTGAGTTCCACGTTAATGTAATAATTACTGCTTTTTGATACATATGGTAAAACTCCAGTATCATTTGATATGCTTAACGTAGCCAGCCATGTCTAGACATATAGGAGGAGATTTACTAAAACTGGAGAGTTCAGTTAGAAGCTGATTGGCTGCCATGATTAGCTGCACCAGATTCTGAGTGCTCCAGTTTTAGTAAACCTACTGCATTGTGTCCACTTCAGATACTTGGAAAACTCTCTGGTGTCACAATGTCTCTATGAGATCAATAAATGTAAAATTCTAGTTTCCAATTACCCAGGAAACGTGTTGCTATCTCTTAGGATTGGAACAAATATGATGACACTTTTAGATGCATTAATATTGACATAAACATTTACTGCACTATTTACAGTGGACAGCAGATACCACTATTTGTCTTTTGCTATTCTCCACAGTAATACTCTATACTGTGGCCTTTGCTTTATGGCCTGTGCCATTCAGTTTATTCTGCTTAACTCAGCAGAGAGAGGTCTGTGATTGGAAGAGAAGTGGTCACATGACTTTGACAGGTAATGTGTTTTTTAATTATAGTGGTTTGGCTATGGGAAGGCCATACCACCACATACCACCTCATGGCATGTTTGTTTAATGCCACTTCTGTAGGTATGTATTCCCTGTCTTTATACAAAACATGTCACTTTCCCTTCTCCCTCCTAAGTCTCACCAAGGGCAGATTTATCATAAGGCACAGTAGAAGGCTATTGTCTGTATAGTTATTGGTCACACATTTCGTTTTTCAATCATCAGTTATCTCATATACTGTAGACATATGTCACAATATGGCAAGCTAGCTGAGGATCAGTGACAAAAATGTGTTGTGTAATAGGGGTGATCCTTGTAGAGGGGGTTTGCTTAAGTACTGAAGGTTGTGTGTCTACAGGCTTCAGGAATAGAAACAGCACTGAGTATACCTTCATGTTTTAAGAATAATAAACAATATCACTTTGATAAACATTTACAAACTATCTTGGTACATATTTAAATCATAGCTATTTTGCATGTTTGGCTTAATTTAGAGTTCCACTATAAGGCTGAAGAATAATTTAATCATTTCTTGAAAATAGAAGGTAGTAGCAGTTATATTTGTGGTCTACCCTCTTCTTTTCTTGCAGTTAGGGTCTAAGAGAAAATCAATAGCTGTATAAATATATGCAGGCTATCAACAATACAAAGAGTAGGAGGAACTGTTGCAATAATGCTTTGTATGTAATACACTTAATTGATTATGAAAAATCACTACTATTTTGTGTCTGTTCTTTCTGCTCTCAATACTATGAAAATAAAAAGAAAGCACTATTGATTGTTGGCCAATGTTGAACAAAATGTTTTTAATGTAAAATAATACATATTTGTATACTATACCCAAGGTCTATGACTATCTCTTCACATTTCTAAGGACAACAGTTTCCAGCAAATAGGGAACTAGTGACATAAAAATAAATCTCCTATACCTAGAGATATGCCAGAAAGTTGTATCTACATCCTTCAAGATGTTGGATTACAGACAGCCTTGAGTGAGACAATCTTTGAATGGCAGGAATGCTTCTTGTAGAAAATAGTTTATGCTGTATATACTATTAGGATGTCGATACATATGAGTGCATAAAATACTAGAAATGGTCCTATATTTATTAGGAGACGCATTTTCTAATCAATATATAAAATAGGAGTGTTTCTTTCGTTTCGTACAACAATCAATAACCTTTTCATATAAATTAATGGATTTTCGATGGAAATGTTTGTAAGAGTTGTCTCATATCATTATGGTATAGGAATTAACCACTTCATGTCCAAGCTGTGACCAATATATGGCCTCATGATTGTTCACTAGTTCTGGGAGAGTGTCCCTGGATGTCCTCCCATGTGCGTGCTTTCTGCATGCCCCCTGAGGCCCACATCAAGAAATATATTTGACTGCTGTGTGCCTTGGACACAGCGCATCACAGATATGGGTAAAGGGCAACTTACACTGGTAATTTACCATGTGTTTGCTGTGTCATTCACAAATGATCACAGATGTAAACACAACAGGCCTTTGCCTGGTAACGGCTCGCCTTCCTTCACACAGCACATGAAGGAAGGAAAGTCGGATCTGTGAGGGGAGCAGTAAGTAATTGTTTTACAGCCTCATCAGTGCTCTGAATATCAGTGCAGCCCCATCATTGCCCATAAGTGCAGCTTATCAATGCCCATCAGTGCCCATCGGTTCAACTTATCAGTGCCCATCAGTGCTGTCTCATCAATGCAACTTCATCATTGCCCATCTGTGCAGCCTCATCAGCCACCCCATCAGTGCCCATCAGTGCAGCTTATCAATGCCCATCAGTGTTGCCTCATCAATGCCCATCAGTGCAGCCTCATCAGTGCCCATCAGTGCAGTTTTATCAGCTCACAATAGTGCAGACTCATCAGTACACATCATTGCAGCCTAATTAGTGCCCATCAGTACAGACTCATCAGTGCCCATTAGTGTAGCCTCATCAGTGCACATAAGTGCAGCCTCATCAGTGCCCATTAGTGCACATCAGCACAGCCTCATCAGTGCTCATCAGTGCAGACTCATCAGCGCACATCAGTGAAGAAGAAAAATCACTTATTTGCAAAATTTTCTAACAGAAACTAAGGAAAACTTTTTCTTTTAAAAATTGTTGGTCTTTTTCATTTATTTAACAAAAAATAAAAAATCCAGTGATGATTAAATACCACCAAAAAAAAGCTCTATCTATCTATAAAAAAATTATAAAAAATTTCATTTGCGTGTGTTGTAATTGTTGTTCAATGTGTGACAGTGCTGAAATCTGAAAATTGTCCTGAGCAGGAAGGGAGTGAAAGTGTCCAGTATTGAAGTGTTTAACCTCTTAACGCCGGCAGCACACAAATGTGCGGCCTCCCGGCATCTGGGCCTAGACGCCGAGCGGCCGCAAATTTGTGTGCAATTAGCAAACAACATATGTGCTGAGAGCATGCACCCTGTGTGCTCCCAGCACACATGTCTGGTACTCAAGGAAAGATCCTGGTGTGATCTTTTGATTGGGACCTTTCCCGATCATGTGACCGCCGTGATGACGCATCACGGCGGTCACATGATCCCTAAACCCCGCCCGTCCCGCCTCCCGGCTTCTGAAACTCTTAAAGGGGCGGGAGGCGCCGGCAGGAAGTGTTTAATAAAAAATATAAGAGGTACTATAAATCAAGTATAAAAATACTTGTAATGCAGATGGTTTGGTCAGCTTTAACCCACAGCAAGCCAGTCCTAAAATAAGGTATGTGTATCCACCCAAATTCAAAGTCCCTTATTTGTCTCTCAACTATGCCCTCTGGTAGGGAACGGCTGCCTCTACAGAAGGAAGAGAGTACTGCTTTTACAGATTGATCCCTGCATACAAGATAAGTAGTATAATGTATTTATTTATTGACTGCAGAGTCAAAGCTAATTAAGGAATCTGCGGTATAAGTACAGTTACCCTTTAATTTAATAACAGCATTCAAAAAGCAAACTTTAGCAGTTTAATATAATCAGAATAATTAAACTTCCAGCAGCCCCATTATAATTGAAGTCCATTCAATCAATGGTAATTGTACTTATATAACACCATTACATCTCAGGTTTTACCGATAGGAGACACTTTGCTAGGTTTTAAGACTCTGCCTGTGCTGTTAATGCAAGAAATTTTTTAGGACAACGATTGAAAGACAAGGAAAGAAGTGTCAGCACCATCTAAGGCATTTTCATTGGAAAGACTATTAAATGAACGCTTAGTCAGGTATGGTTTTAGCGAAAATGGGGTTCTTGGCAGGAAGCCAAAGTGATAGCTTCATGGACTGAAATAGTGCACAAATGTTTTTGTTACCTTGCACTTATTAGAGCACATATTACTAGAGCCATTAAGTTGCCTGGCTTTTGGTGCCGCCATGCGACCAATGACCATAGCGATAGCATAATACCGAAAAAGCCTATTCATCAGTGTTTAGCAGTTGCTGGGATATAGGTGGTTAAGGGTTCAAAAGGGGCACAAGTGTTTTTTAAATATATACATAGCAATATCATGCTGTCATAGCAATGTCATGCAACATAAGGCATTTTTCCACGGTGATATCATGGTATCAGATAGATGCTGCTAAATTAAATTAAATTAAAGTAAATGTCCCTAAAGCTATGCATATTGAAAAATAGTGTTTTTTCTGGGAGGTACATATTAACATGCAATGATAAAATGAAGGGTTTTTCCTAGAGAATTGGCATGTATGTGCAGTGAGGTTGTGTGTCACCAGAGTTGGAAATGCTATCAAACTAAGGCCATGTAAGAAATGCCACCACTGCATGACAATTAGGCACCCCTATGTACCCTTATCCCCTCTATCACCTCAAAGGTGCTGTGAAGATAAATCAAATTCATAGCCTTTTAAAACTTCTGTCAGTGTTCCATCTTTTTTTTTAATCCCACAGAGCACATCAACTGCCTCTTTCTTCAGAAGATCATGATGGGGTGACCATGGTCTATATGACTGCTAGGTGAAAATAACTGATATGAAGGCTGGGGTAAACATACAGAACACATTAACTTTCGGAGGAAGGAGTAGCTGCTGCTTTTTTTTTTTCTATGTGGGACTGAAAAAGGTCCAAAAATATTGATGGTGACAAATTGGCAGCTATCGTCATGTTATTTAAGGCCCCTTTCACACATGTGGACTGTTTGTTTCATCAGTTCAGACACATTTTTTCAAAGAAAAAAATGGATGAAGTTTACATCAGTTTACCACCATTTTTTTTTGTATTATCATCCATTTCCATCCGTTTTTTCTATAGAGATGCATTGATGTCCGTTTTTCATCTGTCAAGAGATAGATTAAAAATGGACAAATGGTACATACGTGTGAAAGGGGCCTAAACGTGAAAACATAACTTTGAAGGAGACCCTAAATTATTGTTCATTATGCTGTTCACCCTTTCACATGCTCGCCTTGCAATTAATTAAGGTCAGGTTGATCAAGCATCTTTGTTCATCAACAAAGTGTATTATTTAAAAGATTTAGGTGATAGTACCTGAGGTTTCATCCACTCTTTCATCAACCACATGGTCTTTCTGATGAACCCACTCGCTGTTGCACTTGAAGTAGATTTGTGTGGCTGGACTGGCTTTACAGTACAAGTTCACTGGTTTGTTTTTTACTATGTAGGCCTCTTCTGGTTCAATGAGAAAATGAGGCAAAGGCTCTGGTGGATCTGAAGGAAAAGTCTCTGGGAGTTCATGAAAAAAATCATCATCTGTAATAGACAAGCAAAGCATTACTTAATTTTAAATCCATTATGGAAGCATTTTCATGCAAGACAAAAATTTTCAGTAAATTAAAAGCATTTTTAACATTCAATCACATTAACATATTGTTTTTTGGTACACTCATATTTCTGTACATGAGCCAACCAAATTATCCGTGCAGAAAAAACTGAAAAAAAGAATTGCTGGTGGCCTCTTGCCTACTCACAACACAAGAAACCAAGCCTTCCTACTCTTTTAACACATCCTTCATCTTGGTGTTTTTAAACCTGCAACAATGCTAGTCTAGCAAAGTGACTGCTTGCTATGCCTGTTTGAGGTTGGGTCTTCACACACTCTACATACAATACGTCGTATCAAGCAGTTTGGAGGTATGTTATTGCATGCATAAGTGCACATTGGTGTTCATTTTATGCATGTTATTGTTGCCTCTTATACATGTTGTTTTTACCCAATAGAAAAAACTGAAGAGAAGCATTCAGAAAAAGGGATTCTCCTTGAGTTATAAATGCACAAACTGCAGGATATATGCATTTATGTGCATTTATCATTCATTTTGATAAGTCTACTTAATGCCCCAAAATGCAGCATGTTCTATAGTTTAATGCAGTTGTAAAGGCTGAAGGTTTTTTTCTTTACCTTCATGCATTCTCTGCTGCTCACCCCAAAGCACCCTTAATATTTACCTGAGCCTAATCTCAATCCAACAATGTGCATGGGAGCAGTGACTTTCCTGGGTCTCTGTCTCCTCATTGGCTGAGACACAGCAGCAAGAGCCATTGGCTAAAGCTGCTGTCAATCACAGCCAGTGAGGAGGGAGTGGGGGGCGGGGCTTAGTTGTGCTTTGTGTGTCTTATGGAAACACAAGGCCAGCTCAGGAGCTAGCATGCACAAGTGCCCCCAGAGAAAGCGGCTTGCTCTGGCGGCACTCAGTGGGAGAGGAGCCAGTAGCACCAGCGGGGGACTCAAAAAGAGGAGGAACAGGGCTGTTCTGTCCAAAACCAATGCACAGTGCAGGTAAGTATAACATGTTTGTTATTTTAAAAAAATTAACCTTTGGTGTTACTTTAAGAATGAGCTAAGCCACAGTGCATAGATGAATGTGAATAGTTACATATGAATGAACGATACACATTGTATTTCTATGCAATAAAATATAGGAGCATTATTATGAATGGGGCTTTAAATGTTTTCATGACAATTACAACCCAACCAACAAAACTGTCCATTGAACATTTTTTATCCAACATCGACCTACCCCAAATTACTCAGTCCCAACTTGAATCTATTTCTGAGCCAATCTCTCCTATAGAAATTGAAAAAATCATAAAAACCCTCCCCTTAAACAAATCACCAGGCAATGACGGCTTCACAAATAAATTTTACAAAATTTTCACACTCAACCTTACGCCACATCTCTCTGCCCTATATAATCAGGTTGCCTCTAAAGGGGAATTTCCCCTGACATGCTCCAGTCAATAATCACCACTATACCGAAGCCGGGCAAAGATCCCCAATTAGTCCTAAATTATAGACCGATTTCACTTCTCAACAGGGACATAAAAATATACGCCAAAATAATCGCTCAACGATTGCTTCCTCTTTTACCTAAACTGATCCACCCAGATCAGGTGGGGTTTATACCGGGTAGACAAGCACCAGACGCTACCAGGCGAATTATATCCCTTCTACACCACCTCGAGTCTAATAAACAACCTTCCCTCCTCCTATCATTAGATGCGGAAAAAGCATTTGACAGAATCCATTGGCAATTTATGACACTTACACTCCAAAAATTTGGAATAACGGATTGGATGCTATCGGCAATTCTATCCCTCTATTCAAATCCTTCTGCCAGAGTCCTAACCAACGGTAATCTCTCACAACCCTTTTCTATATCTAACGGAACCAGACAAGGCTGTCCACTCTCCCCTATAATTTTTGCCCTACTTATTGAACCGTTAGCATCTAACCTTAGAAATGACCCGAATTTCACAGGTTTCACCTATCTACATAAGGAACACAAAATTAGTCTGTTTGCGGATGACATTATCCTAATGGTCACAAAT